GTTGAGGGCGGTCATCACCATCACGACCAGCTGCAACCACCATCGTCATCGTCCGACCCGGGTGACGTGACGCGGCACAAGATCGTGGTGATGGGCGCTGCACGGGTGGGCAAGTCGTCTTTGATCACGCAGTTCTTGTACCGAAAGTTCTCGTCCAAGTACAAGCGGACCGTAGAGGAAATGCACCACGGCCAGTTCACGGTGGACGGCGTAAAAATCGACCTGGACATATTGGACACTTCCGGCGCGTACGAGTTTCCGGCGATGCGCGCTCTGTCCATATCGTCGGCGGACGCTTTCGTGCTGGTCTACTCCGTCACCGATCCTGATTCGTTCCAGCAGGCTGCCACCATCAGGGACCAGATCATCGATATCAAGCACACGGCAGACGTGCCGATCGTGGTGGTTGGCAACAAGCTGGACTTGGCCAATTCCGACCGGAAGGTAAATACTGCCCTTATTTATATATATAATAACAGAACTCACGACTTATCAATTAAATTGTAATTTATCATGCGATGTATGGTAGGTTCTAGGTTTATATTATAAAGCCAAATGGCATATTCACTGGTCGTTTTATTCGAAGACCCCTCATGCGTTCGAGCCCATGACGTAAATTGCGAAAACATCAATCGTGTTGATTTATTTAGAAAACAATATCTGTGACGTGGATAGATCCACATAAAGGTTGTAATTTGGCCGAGTTAGTAGAGAAATTTTAGCACTTGTCATCTCACCTGTAACTACTGCATTAGCAATATATATTGTATTTTTTTTTTTTAAGCATCCACAACTAAGGTTATTGGCTAAATTGTATTATTATTTAATGTTTAATTATTGCTTATCGACGACACAACTTTTAAGAATGTTCGATATTATACTGTATATCCTCTATCCCGGAGATTCTTTATTGACTTATGGCACCCTTAGTAATTTTCTAAAAATCTTGAGGCACCATAACCTTCTTTGGTTTTATTTAGCAGTGCATTTAGTGYCATATGTATTAACATAAGTAGTAAGACGTAAACATAATATGTTATATATGTATACATTATAAACATGTTATATTTTATAAAACAAATTATTACATTGAACATTAACTATATATTTTTATTTTTAATTATTATTTTTTTTTCTTAAAAAATATATTTCGAATAATTACACGGARCCCTCAATAAAGTTCTCGTGGTGGGGAACTTCTGCTCTATTCGCATAATAGCGGATATCCAAGAGGTATGTTATTATTGTTGAGCAATAATCGCGTTCGTCTTTACAAAAAATGTATTTTACTTAACACCAATTATAATGACTTAATTTTTTTTTTTTCATTAATCGTTATTTTCCTTAAAAATAAATACCTCGTCGATTTTGTTTTATACGTCATGTTCCGATGCAGCCATACAGTATGTACCTATCGAAGGATGTTTAGTCACCTAAACTGCACAGGATGTGCGTATCAGAGATTTTCAATGTTTATAAATTATAACAAACGAAAATATACCTGTGGAATTCTCAGAACATGCAATGACATTATAGAGCTCGAATCGATCGCTTAAAAAAAAAATGCATTATAAACCTTGCGTACGTGCAGCGTTTTGTAGTGCATTTAATATTATTATATATAGAAGTTAAATAATGCAACGACGCGCGTATACGCTTTTGGCTCGTTTGCGATGCATTTCTTGTCCGTAATAACTGCAACCTGCATTTGCTCCACGTACGGAATCTGATCACAGACCACACAGGGCACATTAGACACACGTGCCTTTCAAAGCGATGTATAATTATAGGCTGACTAAGTGGTATAATAATATCATAGGTAGCTTAAAATACACACGATATGGTATTTATTAACAATATTTGCATATTATATCGCTTAACCGATCTCATATCTAACATGATATCAAATATATACCTACGATATGCATATTACTTGTATTATGTTATACGATCGAAGCACTTAATATAAACTTGTGTACGAACGTGTCTCAGTTTGTTCTCGTACTGTAATACCTACYCGTCAACTACATGACGCGTTGTATAGGTATCTGTTTTCCACATCATACCTGTCTAAACTTTATCAAGACTGTTATAATTACTATTTTTGAATATTTAATTTAAATTAACGGTTTGGCTTATGCATATCAATTAATTTTGTTTACATTGACACACTGATTTTGCAGAAACCGGGTTTGTAAACTTCTCTTGCAAATTATTTTTTAAATACCTATTGATGAATGTCTAATGAAAATTAGAAAACWTGGTGGTTAGGGTTTGTGGGTGGCAAACTTCACATAAATGCTTTATTAAATATTGAAACGTTTTGAAAATGACGTTGACTATATAATATTATAAAATGTATTGTTTTCGAAATGTGGGATTATTCGATTTCGTCTGTGTGGAATGTGTATATAATATTCAATAAAAATGAACAATGCAATTTAATTTGTAAACATTTCGTAGGATATATTTTTGTCTGTATAAAATAGTTTTACGCCTCCACGTATGGCGAACGAGTGACAACTGAATCAAATATATATTTTTTTTATCAAACACTTGCAAATTGTTAGCTTGAATCAATAAATCCTCGTGAAATCTACCATTAATCAGTTTCAGACGTCTAAGCCTACTCTTGCTATCTCTTGACACGCGAAATTGCGACCACGGATATTCGTCTCTAAACGACACTACACAAAACCAAAGCAACGTTATGTATATTTTTTTTTTATTATTATTTTAAACATAAAACATTCCTAGCCTAAGCTATCTAAATCTACGGATATTTTGCAGTTTACATAGTAGTTTTAACATTATAACATGATAATTAAAATTAAAATATTTTTAAAGTACACTAAGGATAATGTCAACAATGGTGATTTTAAGATTACAATAATATTCTGATATTTAATATATTTATATAAATATTAGCTATTTGCGTATCTAACTATGATATATGTGATTTAATGTATAGGTTTAATCGGGAATTTGAACAAATGTAATTATGGGGAAATATTGTCATTGGCAATGAGAGTATTTAGTACTGTGGAGAGTAGGGAGATAGTTATGTATATAATATACGTGAATCTTGAAGGGATCTATTGTCACACGTAGGTAGTAAAATACTTATACAAACATCCATAAGCAAGAGATTTGAAAATATAAATGAAATTGTGACCTTGAACAATAATTTTGAAAACATAAAAGTGAATGATATAATATCATAACACTTTTAATAGTATATCGTACATATCCATATTGACTTCGTATTAAAAAAAAAAAATGTCACACAGTAATACCTAAATAGGTACAACGTATAATTATTAAACAATATAATATTATGGTAGTAAATATAATAATGTGTATTGATTATTATATATTCAAGAACCTGTTTTATATGACGTTCATTTCTTAGTGAGAGATGTTAATAATGCGATATTGCACAACACATAACATGTTGTATTAATATTTGTTTAAAATTACTGTAAAAAAATGTCCAAGCTCGTGACTAAGCGATTGCGTTGAAAAAATCTCTATATTATTCTTAAATTTCCAAGGTTTATAATATTATTGTTGTGATGGTCGATTCACTGTTAAAATAAAAATTACTAAAAACACCTTTGACATAAATTTATAATTTTATATCTACATGTTTACATATAAAGTAAGTATAAACCAATTAAAGTATTTAATATTTGTATTTAATACTTTAAAGATAATTTAAAATCGTATGTTCATATTGCAGTTATAAATTGTAGGCGAATCTTGTTAATCGTAACAAAAGCCATAATTTATATGTCAGTGATTTTCAACTACTTCATTCATTCTTGATGTATTATTATAATAATACTCGTTAGTATAATTAATAACACTACACTAATTAACAAAGATCTYGCAATGAAGTAATGAAAATGTAAAACCATGACCTTCATTAATTTGTTGAGGTTGGCTTACCTCATTTTAACGAATAAATGATAATATTTACTAATTTATATTTATATACGAAAATAATAATAATACAAATCGGTAAACTTGAGTTTTAGAAGGTCAATAATAAGGTAATAATATATTTCATTATTATTTTAGTTATAGAGCTTCTGAAAATTAAAAATATATTTAGTTGGTTAGCCGCTTTGGGACATATTAATCATGTTGAACAGCAAAATAAGTTTGAGTTTTTCTGAATATAAACTTACATCTTTAGTTATTTTTTATTTGGAAAAYAATACTAATAAATCTTTTGTATTATTACTGCTTTATTTATTCTTGCAATGACAAGTTTCTAGTTTATTAGCTATGAAAATGTTTTACAGCAGTTTATTATGCTATTTCAGATTTAAAGAGAGAGCGAGAAAATTATTGTTTTCAAAATAATATATACTGTTGTTTTATTTTACATAGGAAAACACGGCGAAAACGTTCAAAAATTATAAACATAATTTGTATCGATTTTTATTGTTCAACATACAACGTGTTATTCTTGCGTAAAACGATTTTGAATTSAATTACAATTTTTCAAATATTATATAACCGACACATAGTAAAAACATTTTCTACTCGATGTACTCAAATCAATCAAATTATGTACATGCATTTATTTTTAGTTGAAAATAAAATTTGACGAAAAATTTCAGACCTTTTAATTAATCCAATGTCATATTTATTTTATTGTATGGATAATAATTATTGCATRTTTTTGTATCATGTTTAATTGTGTGTATCTTCTATTGATGGACGGATAATAATATACAGTATAATAGGTTACATTTTAGACTTTATTTAACAAGTTACCTACCTATTATAAGCATATTAAGAAAATAAATATATTATTTTGTAAAACTCTATTGTTTAATAGATCTATTCCATAGTGGGAAATTGTAAACATTTCGAAATAGGTATTGTATGGTACGTATGGTATGATAAAATATGTACCTAGCAAAATTAATTTCTTGCCATTTGTTTCAAGGGCTTATAAGAAATACCAAAGATAACGCAGCCTTAGCAATTGTGTATAGAACAATTCAAAAAATAAACTTTTAAGTGGGTTTAATCGATTGGGTAAACCGAGATACACAATTGATGGATGAATAACAAATGTAATATTGTGCAACTTTAAACCCACTAAAGACCGCGATAACGACAAAAATTTAGCCTACAAGATTTATTATCTACTACCCTCCCATTTTTAAGCTATCTACAGATAAATTAATTGGTCTAATCTGTCTTGTGACCCGTACCACTCATTTGAGACAATTGTTTTTTCAGTTTCGTTTAAAAGAATCTACTGAAAAATAATGAAAGAAAATAATTGATAATAAAAATAAAAACTAAAATATATCAAGCGATGTCTCTACTGCGTTTACTCCCGTCACTATATTTTGTTTAACTCAAATTTGTACAAACGATTTAAAAGTTAGATTATCATTTATCAACTCCAATTAAGCATT